AAAGCAGAGCCAACAAAAATAGCTAACTCACTTCGGATAGACGTGTGCCTTCTGTTTCCAGCAGGAATGGCAGGACGCGGCTGCTTTTCGTCCCAGCGCTGGAGCAGCTGTGGCTGTGCTTTCCGGGAGTGCTGGCAAAGCCAAGCCCGTGTGCTGAGTGGCACAATCTCCACCCAGCAGCACGGCTTCCTCACTGCCAGCACAGCCCCACGGTGCCAGGGGAGGGGACCCAAACCAGCAGGTTCAGGCTCAGCTAGTACGGTGGAAGCGAGAAGCCACAATGAGCAAGCCTGCCTCCCACTCCCGGGTCACTTCGGGAAGTGGCTGGACCAAGGTCCCCCAGCAGGGACAGCTGTCACCAGGCTGACACTGCGAGCGTCACGCAGCAAAAGCAGGGGTGAAATGCCTGCTTAGGATGGTGCAACAGTCAGCTTTCAAAAAGCTGTGCTCGCCTTTCACCTAAAGAGTTGGTTGCAGTGGTGCCACGGGAAGGAATCTACTTATTTCCCCTCAAAAGACCAATATTCCTACTAGAAGTCTACAGAATACCCCTCCCTAGAGTTGAACTGAATAAACAGGTTCCTAGAGTACACAAATGTTACTAACTGAAAGTCATTGTCAAGGCCATTAAAACTTGACCAGGAATTTTTTTAAGCATAACAAATCCAAATGATTTATATTAATTTATAAATTACAAGGTTCTTCCTGAAATACCCATAGTGACGTGCTCTTGATTTTTTTTTTTTTTTTGGCTCAGTAATCAAATTCTCAATACTTGTCATATGGGACTGTGACTTCAGACACCTTTTACTCAAAAATGGTTTCCTTTGCAAGGTGCCTCCGTAGAAGTCACCAGATTTTTATTTGGTGACAGTTAAATAAGGTATGCAACAGAAAGAAACCTAAACAGTAAATATACTGATAAACTAGATAAACTTCTCCGCTACAGAAACAGTGGGACTTCACTCAAAGGTATTTAGTAACTGCCCCTTTTTAATCTTGTATTCCTGTTCATTGCATAAGAAAGCAGACTGAATGCCCCTTTACAACAGTGATAATTTGGATGCCAGTCGAAAGCAACTAACCTTAAATTTCTTAAATCATTAAGGTCAAGAAGCTTTTCTCTGAAAATCCGAAACAAAAGTAATTCTTACTGAATTTCCACTGTTGCTGAGCTCTTCCAGCACAGTTTCTAAAAATACTCCAAGATAGTAAAATGGACAAAGACTGTCACTTCTCTAAGCTACAGCAGCCAGCCACAAGAAAATGATTACTCGTTAAGAGCAATGCAAAAAATCTGCTACATAAAAAGCAGCAAAACATCTGTTATCAATGGAATTACCACAAAAGAACACAAAGATCCAAGAAAGGTGGCTGGATTCCTCTGTGTTCAACTATCAGTGCCTTCTATTAATAGCAAAGATTGAACACTAAGCTAGAAACTGTTTTTCCTGATGGCTGTGGAACTGGCAACACAATCATTAAAAGCTTTTAAAGAAAACGCAGCAGCACTGGTAACGAATCTTCTGCAGAGGAAGGAGGTTAGATCAGATTTTCCTCCTCACTGCTGTCTGATAACACTAATAAGCCATGACCTCCTGGTTTGGGCACCTTTGCAATTAATGTATACAAGGAAGAGGCTGCTCATAGGCAACCACTAAATATTGATGATCACAACCTTACATGAATCTACCTTTTCAGTTCATTTATCTGACAAGGCAGATAAATGCTTACTGAAAACACACACAGTCAAACAGGACTGCACATCAAAGAGGAAAGAAAAGCCGGTGATAGATACAAAGGAGTCAGAACACCTGTTTCTGTTAAACACCTTTAAATTAGTAATTTAGGTTTGAGTCATGCAGAAACTGGGCACATCAAGGTTGCCATAGGCAGCCAAATAACATCCCCCTAAGAACAGACTGAGCAGAAGCAATGAGTACACCCTGGCTGCAATGCCAGGAACTCGAGAGTGACCAAACAAAGAGCACAGGAGTAAAAGGAAGGCACAAAGAACCGTTCAGATGGAAACTAAAACAAAAACAAAGCCAGACAGGAGAGTGCTGTCCCTTAGGAGTCATCCTTGTGACAGGTACCATCACAGGACAATCAGACTGCGCACATCCATGACACAATGACAAGCCTTCATCACACACAAGTTCCTGCATCTTAAAACTCAAAAATGCAGGTGACCCAAGAAGGAACAAGCCATCAGTTATTATTACTTACTAACTAAAAGGAAAAATTATTTAGGTCTAATATGGAGGAGCAAAACTCCCTCTGGCTGTTCAGTTCAAAGTGAGTCATTTCACTAGAGGGTTAAAAAACCAAATTTAACTATCCTACTTCCTCTGCCTCTTGTAAGGAGTTAAAATTTATCTGGGATAAAGTGCATCAATGACAAGTATTACTGACCAACAGAATTATTAAAGAACCAAAAGAGGTTTTGCACACAGAACACATTAAAGCTGTATCAGGGAAAAAAAAAAAAGGAAGAAACAGCAGTCCCAGATTGTTTAAGAGCAGGTGGAGTAATTCTGATTGCATTAAAAGATCTGACTGGTTTGCAGCAAAAGAAAGAACTGCCTTGCCTCTTCAAGAAATACTCCTCTTCCTGTAAAATTCCTGTTTAAAAAAAAAAAAAAGCTTTGCAAAATTTTTGTTTTCAATAGGTATTTTTATAGACCAAAATAAGGGCAGAAAGGAATACAGCCAGCCAAATGGCTTGAAAAAGGTACAGATGGCACAAACTACAAGAACAATACATCTCTGAGTTTTGCTCTATTTTAAATAACACTACAGCCTCACTACTAAAAGTAAAAGATATAATTAACAGAAGATTTAGCCTTGGGTGAAGAAAAGCAGAAATGGTTGAGTGGGAACTAAAATGGTTAAACCTAAAATAGCTATCCAAAACCAGTCAGTATTAGACAGCCATGAGGTGAGTATTTTCATACTATATAATCTTCACCTATAAATACTTTGGAATGTCATAGAATCTGGAGAAACACCAAGTACTGATGAAATACATAGCCCAAGTTGTCATAACCCAACATAAGGCAATTCCTGGCAATTGCATTAACTTATTTTCATGACACTACCTTCCAGCTCTCATGCTTAGTAGTATCACCAGCAATCGTGCCTTTCACACTTATGGTTGAGAACACATTATCATAAAAAGAACATGAACTGGGAAAAAAAAAAAACACCAAAAGAAAACTTGTGTTAATTAAATATGTGCTTCCACGGGACTATGCAGCTACAGATTCTTATGCAGAAGGATGATCTTTGAGACTGTCTCACCTGTCATGGGAACTACATATGGACAACTACATCCAGCTTGACTAGCAGGAGAAAGGCCCTGGCAAAATACAAGGAATAGAAAGAAAAGCTGGGGATGTCATTAAAGTGTTAGACAAAAGCATTGGAAGAAAGTGACAACAGCATTTATATCCTTGTCTCCTCCTTCCTTAGGTAGAAAGGAAAAAATAATTACTTAGGTGGCACAGAGAAATCTTTAGGGCTATTATTTTACAACAGCTTTGATTAAGAAAATAAAAATCACATTCAAAAGCAGAAACACTTCCTGCTGATAGGGTCCCTCAAACAATGGGTTATCTCCAGGATATGGAACTCTGGGGTGGACTAATGGACTCCTTGGAGCAATTGGTAGGAGCAACCAGCCTCACATCCCTGGTGTGAACTGATGAGCTGGAAAGCCCCTGGCTCATACAAAGGAATGAAGGTGTGTTGAAAAATGTGTTAAAAAGGGCTTTCGAAACCTGAAAGTGCAAGATAGTGAAAGTGCAGAACAAGATACCAGAGCTAAACAAAGACATCAACCTTGTCTCTGCTACTGACCAGTGGCCAAATAATTCATTCTGCTATCAAGATGGGCGTGATTTGAGCTCTCCCTGAACTGCAGCAGGATTGCACACCACAGACCCTTCCCCTGAGCAGGGAGGCCTGTCGAGGTTTGGGATCCCTCACCTGAGACAGGGATCTTTCCTCACAGGTGGCAGAGAGACCCTTTACTCACCATAGATCCTCAGTGAGTGACTGACTGACAGTGTACTGAATTAATGCTATGAAACAGCATTAATCCATATAGAGTTACTCAATCATGTTATAAACATTATTTGGATAATTCCACTGGACATAAACCCTTGCCCAAATCTGAAACTAAGTCTGAACTCAGCCACACTTAAGGTCCATCAGGAATTTAGAAAGCAAGGGGGTATACTCTGAACCTCACAACTCAGCGGGAAGGTCTCCATTACCCTTTTCATCTCTCTGTGTGAATCATTCCAACTCAATTCTAACTCAATATTCTCTTTTATGTTTCTTCCACGCAATAATTAATGAGGTGAACCTGGCAATCAAACTTACTGAATGTTGTCAAACCACTGTTAATCTTCATTAATTTCCATCAAACTGTCAAATTATTAATTTACCTCAATAAAGCATATTGTTGCTTCTCTTTCCAATGAGCTGCATTTCAGTCATCTGTGACAAACAGCACATAACAGTGACTACCAAGCACAGCCATCAGTTCATGCATAACCACCATCAGAAGATTTTCAACACCTTCTTTCAATACTCTGCAAGACCTGAGCACCCTGTTGCTCCTCAGAGTATCATCTGCGCTCCTTTGCAACTCAGCTTTATAATGCCTCTCCAGGGACAATGAATACTCCAGGCACTCCAGGGACAATGAGGGCAAAGACAGTTTCTCGGTGCTTCAATCTCACCAGGTTCCACCAAGTAAACAGAATCCAAAAATACAGCTAACGATGAATAAAGAACCACAGTGCCGTTAAAGTCAAACGAAGTTGGCCTCTGACATCAATGGGACCAGGATTCTTTAAAATAACGAGGACACTAACAAAGAACACGTGAAAGGGGAGAATGCTACCACATCTGTTTCCTCAGGAAGTCAACAGTGGCTTGTGCTACCCCTTAATTTCAATTCAAAGACCACTTCCTTTAGTATGCATTACCTTAGCAGCAGAAGGTGCTCCCCTTGTCTGTGCTTTGGGGGGTTGGCTAACATTAGCACTTGCTTGTTTTTCCTACAAAATAAAAGAAAGACATAGCAAAGATCAGAAATATTTATGAAGGAAAAAAAACTCAAAAAAAAGGACACTAAAAAAATGTCCATTAGAACATTTTTGCAAGGCAACTCATCAAAAAATAAATTCCTCTATGTAACTTTAATTCACGCAGGGACATTTCACAAAATGCTGCCCAGCCCAAAACAGGCTGAGTTCTCTTGCACTGTTTTATGGCTGATATGTCTGTGCTATTTCCTGTGGCAGAGTGACTCCATTTTAAGTAACAGTTAAAGTAACAGAAACCATATATAATTTAATGAAAGATATCAATGAAAATAAGAAGGTCAAGCTATTGCTGTTCAGACATAATTTGAATGGTAATCAAGAAGGTAACATCACCCTCAGGGAGGGAGGTAAAGGTACAAAGCTAAGGGCAAAATTATAGTTTGTTTCTAAGAAGCTCAAGATTCACAACACAATTACAGCATTCACACTTCCAGCTGCTCTCCACAAGCAGGCAAGGCTGCAGAAGGACAAGAGATTCCACCAGCAAACTCAGTAGCACCATTTTTAAATTGACTGGGAACCAGATATTGGAACAGACTGGGGGATCTGGAGAGCTCTGTCATTAAGGCAGTTCCAGCTTCTGTTCTCTTTCTGATTTAGCTCAAAAATTTGCAGATCATCTAGAGTAAACAAAGCTGCACATTGAACAGTCACGTTCAGTCAGAGCCTGCGCAGTGGGCCACCCACTGTGGCCACTTACGTAAGATTAACATCACCAAAATATCTCTCAAAGGTACAAATGGAAACGATTAGAGGCATATACATCAAGGATGTCACACTTAGTACTGGCCACACTGGAAACAACGACATCCCAGTAAAACTTCACAGGACGTTTCAAAAACCAAGAGTAAAAGTGATTTTTCCTGCTACAGAGGAGTGTGGCTGCCTCCTCCTTGTGTCCCAGACCAGGGTCCTCCTCCACAACTGCTGAAGTCCAGTGTTGTCCAGTACAGACCAGTACTGCCCAGTATAGACTATGTAATCCACAGATCCTTCCACTTCTAATTAGGTTGTCCAAGTAATTAAAAATTTGAAGGGCTACTCTCCCAATTTCAGAGAGAAAAGAAATTTTTAAAAAATCACCAAAAATAGAAGAGCACACCTCTGAAGAGCAATCAGTATTCTGTGTATGCCTTCAGTACCAAGAGATCTTGACTGACACCTCAGGCTCAGCCTTTGGTTCAGGGTCTCACGGCTCATGGTGTTCAGGATATACTTTAGGTACTAAAGAAAATGCCTCACGTAACTGTGATGCTCTGAAAAATCTCAGAATCGCAAAATACCACAAATCCACACATACTGTTTTACAGAAGTTTTTATGATACCTCTAAACACACTCAAAAAAATTCAAGCACAAGGCTAACTTTCCTCCCCCCCACCAAGCCTGAAGTACAAAAAACCCACCCAAAACAAAAAAAACAACTAACAGAGTGAAATAAATCCTTGGTCTGAGTATGAACTTACGTTAACTCATTAAACAGAATAAAGAAAAAGTTGTTCATGTTTCTCTGTTTTGTGGTAAGCAGAACAGAAATAAAGGTAGGAGAGAGAGTAGAAAAATAAGCAAATGCATTCTCCTCTGGAGTAGAGAGAGACTACCTAGAGATAAGCTACATGGAAAGTTACGCCACCAGAACAAATGAGTATTCTTTACTGAATGCTCTCCACAACACACTAAGTAAAGTAATACATGTTAGCTCCCAGGATCATCTTTCCAAAATAACTTCTTTGGTACTTAATACATTTGTAAAAGCTCAAAGACTAGCCCCATCATACTGTTAGGTTCATCCTTCTTTTACTCTTATTAATATAATGATATTATGTGTTTCCCAAAATGCTCCCTCCATGCAAGCCAGCTCTGACACCCTTTATCAACAAATACATCAGGGCTGTTCCCATCTTCTCCCCTCCAAGAAGTGGAACAGTATTTTTCCTCTGTGAAAGTCTCAGACCCAAACAGCTGAAGAATTACCTTGCAGCTGTACTCACATCTCGCCTTCCAACCCGATAATAACAGAGCCAATGAATTATCAAAGCACAGCTTCTTTGTGAAATGAATTAAAAGAATCACAAGCCTGTAAAGAATTGTGTGAGAAGGAATAAAAGCTGTGGCACATAGGTACCTATAATCTACTCTTCATTATCAGCAGTGGCTTCAAAACAAAAAGATAAAACACTATTTCAGAGTGGAACGTTAATTCTGCAGGTTTAATAAAGGAGAAATGAAATATAAACCCTTTTGATATGCAAATTTTCCAAGGGAAGACACAGTGCAGTTGGCTTAATAGAAAAAAAAAGCCACCAAACCACAAAAGGAAAGTATGTGCAATTTCTGTTCTGAAAATGTCTCTGACAACCACCAGCAGCATTTCAGCCTCCTCCTATCAATCTTTCATTCAAGATTTGCTTGAGCAGAAATCACACTATATTTCTTCTTACAGCAGAAAGAGCCTCACATCACAACAGCTCTCAGTGAGTACCAAAAATTTAACTGAAATAATGTTATTTTTCAACTACCTTTGGCATTTTAGCCAAATAACCACCAAAACAGAAAGTGGAGATGACGAAAAAGCTTCTCATAACCCATCCACTGAGGATGGACCAGGGCCACAATCCCCTGTGCCAGTGCCCACAGTGCTGTGGGGTACAGGGGCCGAAAGAAAACACACTAACAATGCAGTTTGAAGTAAATAATTCGGTGCCAAAGTAGAAAAAAACCCTCACAAATGCTGCCTTCAAAAGTTGCCTATGCACAACTCAGACCAGCAGTGAGCACTCCAAGAGACTGTCACCAGTCATAATTAATGCCTTTACTCAGCACTATGCCCCGGGACTCTCGAGTGACTCTAATGCTTTTCTGGATAAGGAATCCTAAATGACAAGCATCAGGATTAAAAAGTATCACAGAAATCGTGGCTTCAGAGCAAAGAAACAATTCTAAAAGGGCAGGAATGCCTCAGCACCAATTATCACTATAATCCTCTCAAAGTAAAGAATGTATTTCCTGCGAAGTAAAGTATAATGATTTGAGCAAGCAGCACAGATTTTGTCCACACTGCTGTAAAGCATTGCTTGGAACGTCAGGACACGTCAGAGTGGGTCCAGTTTCATAATATATCTGGTAAAACGTTACCTTATTCTAAGCTGGGGCTTCATATTCCTGAAATACATGGCTGCGCCCATCTTTTAATACATTTTCAAATCCTGACAGCAGAAATGCACAGGGTGGGCTTTCACAGGGATACAGAACCTCTCCTTGATATTTCCCTCTACGACAGCAAAAAGAGAACAGGTCTTTCCAGATTACATGCAGTTATTATATAATGGCCAGTCTCTTCGCGAACGAAGAACCGGGGAAGGTCTTTCCACCTTCCAGCCTGCAGTTATTAACTCGAGCCTGAATCCACTCAAAATAGAGCAGAGGGCTTTCAAAGCACAGTCACACACAATAAGAGCACTAGTTTTGCCTTGATCTTAGGAACACTATGTGGTTGAGCATTAGACCACACTGTGTCCCAAGGGCAACCCTCTGACAGGGCAACATTGAACCAGGACCATGCAATCCATTACAATGCAAGACCTGCCTTACTGAGTTTGGATGAGCTTCACTTTTAATATTTCCCTGTCTCTAGAAGTAGTCTCTAGCAGCTGATATAAAAAAATCTCAAAACCAGTAGATGTAGAAATAGGTCAGGTCCATTTTGATATTTCTTCTAAATACTCTTGCAGACTCAGATAATGTGTGGGTTGGGGACTTCTAAATTTCAGTGTATTTTATAAACCATCCTGAGTTTCTCTTCAGTGATTTTGTCCCATCTCCCCTTGAAAGAATTTATCTTTTAGTATCCAAAAGCTTCTAGAGTACCAGTGCCCTGATGGTCTCAGAAAGTGGTATGAAATTGACAGAAGGGCATATGTAAGGTGAAGACTATGGGGTAAGGAAAAAAACCTCACCAGCCGTCCCTCACATGTTAATAAACTGCTGAAAGCCCTGAAACATCAGTAGAACAGGGGAAGAAAGGAAATTCATTATTTCATACACTTTGCAATGGTATGCTGCAGACATATTGACTCAGGTCCATTATGTAACAATGCAATGAGAAAACAGGGGAGCAGATATGGGGAAAACCGCAGCACATCACTCACCTTCACTGGATGGCAGCTGCATCACAGCTGCAAAACCATGCAACAGCTTCAAGTGCATGAGCAACCACCAATTCCCACAACGATCATTTTGTTTCTGTTAACATCTACCATACACGCATTGATAAGAAATGAAAGCACTTCATTAAAGCTGATGTAGATTTTCAACAAGTGTCTGATTCTGCTTAGGATGTGAATTCAGCAAATGTAAAGGTTCTAACAACCAAGACATAGAGATACGAGATACATCCCTGTGACTTGTGCCTTTGCCCTCGAGCAGTGCCCAATACAACATAAAACTCAGTCAGCTACAGTGATGAAGAACTGCCTCTATCTTTTTCCAATTATATTTTTTAATGCACCTGCAGTTTCCAACTCTGTCCCTTTGGCACGTCTTTTGCCTATTTCAACAAGGCACCATGCACAGATACACGCTCAGTTGCTCACCAATAGATTGACAATGTGTACCTCAACCCAAAGCTGACCCTTCCCATTCAAATAGACTCCCCCACTCCGCCTAGGGTGAAAGCTTGAGCAACACTCCCGAAATGATACAAACAAGTATGGCAGTACCTTTCCTTTGCTAACAAGGGCTATGGTATCAGAGTTCTGTCCCTTCCAAACCTGTGCGCAATACTTCTCTCTTTTGCTAGATGCAACAGCATTGAATGTTATCACAACCAAAGGTCTTCCAAGTAACTACTATAGGCTGTTGTGAAGGATCAGTTTAAAGTAAAATGGCCTTAAGGCCACACCTTTGTTTTCATTTTGAGAAACTGGACAGACTTAATTTAGCACTTCAGAAGAGTTGGAACCTCAGTACTGCAATAAGATGATGCTTCTGGCAACAGAGCAGAAGAGGCGGGAGTGGACCCTTGGGAAGAGTTACAGAGAGGGACTGTGTGCATCCTTTAGTTTACAAGTTATAAAGACACTAAGCAGAATGGAAGCTGCTGCAAACAGCTGCTGAACACACCTGCCATCTGTCTCTTCCAGCCAGTCTGCAAGCTACAGCTGTGTGACTTCAGCATCAGCCAGGCCAGTGTAGTGGAACACAAGGGATTGTAGGAAAGTTTTGAAGTGACAAATACAGGCTGCAGCTGTGCTACCCATACGTGCAGGAAGGGCAGTCAGTTCCAGGATTCAGAGGGGAAGGCTCACTGCTTTCAGTGAGTTCATGGCTTCCCCACTGAGCTTTTATCTGTGTGAAGTAGCCTGCTACTTTGGCGACCTGGCTCTTTTCTGTCACGATGAGCAGCACGATGACCTGAAGTAAGGCAACTCCAGCTCTGTGCTTCAGCACCTCCCCTTCCCCACATTTCACCTGTGTCACTCAGACAACATGTCTATTCTCCTTTATGCAATGCTTCAAGATCCAAGAATTAAAATACTTCCGATAATTAAGCAGAAAATCACTAGAAACCTAAAAAGTAAATACCTCCTGAAGAAACAATCCTATGAACCAGTGTTTGTTGGCATATAATACATAAATTACATGTACTCGCTGCAATGAGTGTATGTAATTCCAAACCTAGGGAGTTTTTACATAGATCATCTTCACACAGCTAATTCCTAAATCTTTTAAAGCATTATTTTATATTACTGGATTGTGAGGCTAAAATTGGAAAAATCCTATGGAACCATTTAATCTCCTCAGCAGCTCTATACAAGGGTGTATCTTACCAAGCAGGTTTCTATCTACAGTAAGCCAGCTGTTTTTTCTCAATCTACTTCTAAATTTCTGAGGAAGTAAAGCTTAAGAAGCCTATTCTATACCCTAACACTATTCATTTTGCGCTCTCCTTGATGTTGTGGCTGATTAGCATCTCCTAGCGTCACTCTTCCTACCTCAACTTTTTAAAGCTTTACTGTCCTTCTCTCACTCCTTCAGGACTATCTACCCAAAAATCTGAGAAACAGAGTTTTTTACTTGTTATTTTTAGTTATACAATAACCATATGGGATTTTACTATTTTCCTTTCAATATGGATATAAAGTCTTCAAAGACTTTCGTATTTCCTTGTCCATTTCATAATGCATTATCAAACCTTTTCTAGTAGGCAGGTGAACAACTTCGACATTCTAGACAAAATTGCCCAAAACTATATGCAGATGGACTATAAACTTCGGTTTAAAAAAACAAAAGACCATGGAAATAACTTCTGACTTTTAAACAAAAATGTAACATAGCAGACTCTTGGGAGCTGTGTACAACTACTATGAGTTACTATCTCAACTGCTTAACAAATCAAAGTGTTTTGAAGGTAGGTGTGAACCACAGTGGAGCTGACTCTGTTCACTGGGTTTGTGGAAGAGGGCTTTGCTCTGCTTTCACTTTTAAGCACTGCAAAATCAATGGAAGGAGTGAAACATACAAAGAATTCAAAAGAGGAAACACGTATTCAGTATTCTAAGGACTCAAAAAGCAAAAGTATCCAGACAATAAATTTAGTAAGAGTCTTCTGCTGCTGGAAATAGATCTTCTCAGTGAGAGGTCAGAAACAGCAACTCCACAACCTCAACCTACAGGCCTCAACTCCTGCTCTTCCCACAAAAAAGTCAGCACTTCTCTATTAAGAGTAAAAATGCACAGTCCAAGAATCCGGTGTTAAATCAAGAATGTATAAATGAACAATGGGATTTATGAAAAAACTAAAATATCTATAGAAAGGAAAGGAGGCATGTTTTCCCAGGCTAGAGCAGCCTTCCTTGCTTTTCTGTACAGGAAAGAAGGGCAATTGCCTAAATCATCTACTTCAGAGGGTTGCAATAAAAGCATTCACTAGCCTTATTTGCAATGCAGTTAAACAAGCTTAGACAAAGCTATTTCCCACACAGGTTGTCCTAAGGATAAAGCATCAGGCACATCTATTTCTGGCTTCCCTGGACCAATGACTAACATTTAAAGACAAGTAGACAACTTGTAACAGTCATTTCTACAAACTCTTTTTTTTAATCTGCTGTTATACCTTCCTTGGAATAGCAGAGGCTTCTGGGGAAATGGGATGATCAGTGCACTGCTGACCTGGCTTGGACAATACCTCCTCTTTGCATTACCAGCCCAACTCACTGTAGCACATAAGGACCTACCACCCAGTGGCTAACAGGGAGCTTCTGGAAGAGAGAAGACCAATCCAAATACTCTCCAAACACTGCCTGCAATCCTTGATGCCCTCTGATGGTGTGCAATAGCTGCTGTGCTCCAACTGTAAAGTTGCTTGTGTAAACTCAGTGTAAATACCAGTTTCTGAGAAGGCAGGATCTTGAAAAATAAGTATCTTTTCTAAAATATAGCACAGGCCACATATTTCCAAGTGTGTCAGGAGATGACCCACATGTGCAACATCTATGCATGAATTTGAATTTCTGGCTGTGGAAGAAAAGCCAGAGTGCAAACAAGGTCAAAAGCATCACAGTGCCCTCACTTCACCTTTACCTCCATGAAACAGAAAAACCAGGTGTGTCCCACAGTGTCCTGGCACTGCACAGCACATACTCTACTGAGATAGCTTCCACAGATACTAACAGGAAATATTTGGGAAAATATGAACATAGCAAAGAAAGTAGTCCCAGTAGGACTCTCAGCAGCACAAGACAAAACTATACATTCCTGGAAAGAATAGTGAGTGGCTGTAGTCACCAGTTAATTTTCTGAAAACTCCCAATTTGCTATGAAAAGGCAAAAATCTGTACAGGATAAAATTTGTTACTGACTTTTTTTCCTAGTATGTTCAAACACTTGAATTTACCTCTGTAACTTCTGCTTTTTTCTCTCCTGCCTTGGAAGAATCTCCACTTGCCTTCTTGTCACCATGCTGTAAACAGAGAAAACAGATGCGTAGTTATTAAGGTCCTAAATGACACCTTCTACATAGCAAAATTCCCATACATCTTACTGCAAGTATTATTCCTTTCATATACGACAACATGACAGAAGGAAGGATGAAGTTTGTCTTCTCGCTAATGGACTGTATTTCTAAATGACCTGCTGGGTAACTTCATGTGGAATCAGCCAGAAGCTCAGGACTTCCAGGACAGTATGTGTAACATGACTGCTCTTGTGAAAAGCTCTGGAAGATATTCAGCTTATCACTCATTCCTCACCAGCACAGAACTCTTCAACAGCTTTGGAAATGCTGTCAGTCTCACAAGCTTCAGCAGAAACTCAACAGCTCCCAGGGAAACCAACAAGACATGTACAATCCTGCACACCTGAGCTTCCCTCAGACACACTAAAATGCTCATTATGCCCGGTCCTCCTTATCTGAAAGAAAGCTGTTATCATGATTTCCATAATTCTGGTGCTGATATAATAAAAAAATAAATGCTCTAACAGTTCAGGCACGGGTATACATTAGGAAATAGAGTTCTTCCAGGATTCCCAAACCTCCTGAAAATTTCATTTACTCCAAGACCCTAAACCTCTTCCTTTCACCTAACCTGATGTGCAAACCCATTTGCTTCCCATGTGCAGCAATGTACAGAGACACACAGTTTGTTCATCACACATTGCAACCCTCTTCATTTCTGAAAAGTGGTGAATATGGTCCCTCAAAAAACCCTTTTTCAAAAATAATAAATTAAAAGTAAAAAGAAATTAATACAAAAGGTAACATAATATAGCTACTATTTAGTATCTTGGCTACTGTAATTTCCCACAACCAGTGAGACATCTGGGAGCAAGGATTCCCATCAGGTTTGTTTTGTTAAGTAAAGACAGGAGATGATTCAAGACTCATTTATTCCCTTCTGTTTTGAGGACTGAGCAGGGGGTAAAGTTTGCTAATCCACTAAGTAATGAGTTCCTACAGATTTTTCTTTACATGGCTATAGGGAGAAAGTAATGATCCATGTATCATTGCGCTATCTTCAACAGAAATCTGTTCTAGCACATCAGCAGACAGGCTGGGAAAACACTATAGCTGAATGAGAAAATAAAACTAGAAATCAAAGCGTAGCATGTCTCTAATTGTTTCCATTATATTGGAACACAACAAAAATTTCAATAATTGTTTTGAACAACCTCTAATAATTCCAGTTTTTAAAATGAGTTTGGGCATGACTAAGGTACTTGACAAATTTTAAAATTCAAAATGCTGTTCTCATATTTCAATTGTGCCTCTTCAGAGGAAAAACAAGCCCCGTGGTTGGTCTTTTCACGTAGGAGATGAATTAATTCAGTGCCCTGTAACAGCACTTTAAGTATAGACACAATTAATCCATTTATCTGTGCTTTTTACTGCTACAGTAAAAGCATATCACATACATACCGGTAAAAGCAACAGCAGTGAATGCTATTGCTGACAGAATAGTAATTCCAGAGACAGCACTGCCTTAAGGCTCAGGAGCTTCAGCTCCTGCAAAGCAAAGCTGTGTTGATGGGGCTCTCATCTTATATGAATATCCTCAGCATCACAACTCTCTAGAAGCCAAATGCTACCCTGAATCCAGCTAATCCAGCTATTGAAACACGCATGTCTTTCTGCACGCCACGTGTATTTCCTTGCTTTCATTCACTTTCTTCTTCACATTCAGACATGGTTTTAAAAGCATCAATACCAAGCAAAGTGCAAGTTTTTTATTATTTTTTTTTAATTTTAGTAAACCAAGTCAGAGAATATAGGAACTAAATATGTAATTCCTACTGAATGTGCCAGACCTTCACCAGGGCTAAATCTGGTCTTACCCTTCTTCCCTAAGTCCATCTCCTCATCGTCATACCAAAGAAACCTGAAGCAGATGTGAGCATGGCATCCAAAAGGGCATCCAGCCCCAGGACTATGAAGAGGAAGATATGGAAGGGGGCTAGCAGAACATCAACTCTATGTCCCTGAGGGACTCCAGGGCAGCTTCACTGTCCAGGGAGGACATGGAATGGACCAGGACAAGGACCACTACTTTGCCACCCCTAAACTCAAGTCAGAGAGAGATTAAAAGAATACATCTTCCCTCCAGAATGCTTTTTCAGACTGTACCTATAATGAAAAGATTTTGACTTAGAGGCCCAATACTTCTTATTCCAGCTGGGAGAACAAAGCATATACAGTCTGATCAAAGTAATTTTTTATCCGGTAAGTTGGAGTCATGCACTGTGTACATACCAAGTGCTGATACACTGATACTCTCCAGCCTCAGATAATAAAACAGCCTGTGAAAGTACTGCCTTGCAGGAAAGTCTGCCATCCTGAGGAAGAAACCTTGGAAGCGCAGCTTCTTCCACTTGCTGAGGAGACCAAGCTGGTTCCCTGAACAGATGATGTGTAAGTTATGAGGAGGGACCCTGTTTCAAAAATGCCCTTCAACAGCTCCTTCCTTATCTATGTTTCCAAGGTTTGAATCCTCCAGTAAAAAAATAAATATATAAATAAAATAAAGACAGTAAATCAATCTGCTTGGCAAGAGGCTAAGCTCAGGTTTCCTGGGACAGTGTGCATGCACTGCTCCTTTGTATTCACAAGCTGATGACACGAGCTGTCCTCTTCTTTTGGCACTCTTTCCTTTTCTTATTCATCTCTCCTTACAATGCCAAAGGTACACATCCATAACCAAGCCAGCAGTCAGAGCATCTCCAGCTCTCTCACACGAGCTGGGCATATAGCTGAAGTTACATGTCTAGTTTAACTCAAGAGCTGAGAACAATTCCTTGTAGCTTTTAAGTTGGCCCAAAATATTTTCCAACATTCCTAACTAAAAAAAGAAAACAAACCCACAAACCTACCTATAATCACACATTCACTAAAATATAGATGCATTATGAAGAAGAAAGTTTATCCTGAGATCTTCATTCTGTTCTAAAGTGCACAAAAATGTCACCATGCTATTATTTTGAGACACACCTTTAACTTCTGAGTCAAAGAGCACTTATAAACTAGAAAGTAAATGACCTGGCTGAAAAGCACAGAGCAGATTACTAACGACTGACTACACATCTGTGCATGCAAAAAATCCAGCCTCTTACTAAGGGCTTTCCTTCAAGGAATTCCTCCTAAACCCTGGGAGCCCCATCAGCATTAATGAGCCTTCGGTTCTACGACACTGCGCAGCATCTCAGAGGACACACAGTAACTGGGTGAGAAGTGAAGCCTCCCTGTAAGACTCTTAGGTGAAGTCAACCAATTCTGCACTACAGGTATTAAATGAGATGGGAATCTGACCTGCCTTTTCAGCTGAAATGGTGAAGAGGATAAAGATCTTTGATACTGCTCAGAAAACTGACATCTAAAGAGCTGCCAGGGGAGCCACAATCAACCTTGCTAGAGCCACACTCCTTTGTGTCTGGAGACAAGAGGGATCTCCAGTCCTGTGTGTTCACACAGGTGCCCTTCTGATGCCAAAAATCATAACGATGGGTTTCCAAAAGAGCAGGTGTAGGAACAGTTTCCTTCTGACCACAGGTAGTCCTATCTTAGCATCTTTTCTTACCCTGGATGCAGTGACCAGAACTATCAAGGCTTTTAACACCCATTTCATCATTCAATGCAGCAATTCCCAAACTTTCCTCACGACTTTGTGTCACCTCCACCACAGTACCACCGACTTGACTTGACAACAAACGACACCTGAAAACACTGCTAAACAGTGATCCAAGCTACATGGAGCAACTTAAAAGTACACTTATAAACTCAGCAGGTTTCACCTACCTGATTATATATTTAGGAAATATATTTAAGTGATGTTTTCTCTTGCACAATGTATACTTTCTGTAAAACTTTAACAGAATGCAAACTTTTTTTCCTCCACTACTCCATACAGAGACGGACCATTTTTTCCTATGACTAATAAACCATAAAGGTTTTTTAAAGGCTTTTTAATACAATCACAGGCTCGTCACAGCAACTGGTAGCGACCCAAGTCCATCCAAATCCCATGGAGCCATCGAAGAGATGTGGTTTACTCAGGGAGGATATGGAAAGCGCTGGCTCTTCCCGGCAGCCCTGCTATCCACCTATATAGGGAAGACCATGCCTCTGGAAACAAGGCATCCCGTGGAGTTTTTTTTCCCTAGAGCAGGCACAGCTACAAATAAATCCTGATGCACTTTTGTCACCTCTCGATTTCGCGTTATGACGAAAAACTTCCAAGAGCACCAAAACACCTGGTTTCCAAGTGTGGCTGTCAGGCTGCGGAGGAGATGAGGACGGGCATCGCGCTCCCACTTGACCTGAAGCACCGCTACAGGAGCCTTTAAAAAAGACAGTGGCTCGCCTGCAGCCACCACAACCCTCCTTCCTTTCCCCTTCTCCAGCCTGAATGCCGGAGAGCGGAGGAAGCATACCGGCCGCCGGAGCCCTCCGCATCCTGCGCCCGCCAACGGGGCCCTCCCTGGGGTGCTCCGGGCTCTTCCCCGGCCCCCCCCCCCCCGCACTCACCATGGCGTACCACCACCGGGCGAAAGCCATGGCCCTGCCGCTGCTGCTCCGCGCCGCCCTGTCCTGCCTTGCACTGCCTTGCCCGGCCCGGCCCGGCCCGGGACGTGCCCCAGGGCGGCGCCCGGCGCGGAGCCGCTCCCACCGCCAGGGCCGCGGGGCGCCCGGGGCAGCGCCGAGCGGCTCCCCCGCCCTCCTCACACACACGTCCCCACATCCCGCACGTCCCTCCCAGTCCCGCCTTACCGCCGCGGGCAGTGACTGCCGCCCCGTCCCGCGCTCCGACATTGCCAGCGGGGCTCCTGCCACCGATCCCGAGGAAGAGAAGCAGGGGCGTCCAGTCACTCCCGGCTCCACGGGCGCCTGGAAAGGCGCTCGGTCCCTCCCCTTCCTGCGGGCGCCGAGCCGGGACGGGGGAATGGCGGGGGGGTGGGGGGGTGGGGTGCCGCAGGGCCGGGATGTGGCGGCGAGGGAACGTCGAGTGCCTGGCTGGACGACGCTCAGCTGAATAAAGAGCTTTCCTTAAAATGAGGGGGGAGAAAAAGCGCATAGACACTTTCCTTCTCCTCATGAAAGTCATTCCCCTTGGGAAAGTCTTTGGGTGTGGACAGCCGACCCTAGGCTGGCTCCAGACTCCAGGGCAGCTCCCACCGGTGGGTCCTGCCCCTCACGACCTTCTTCACCTGGATGGAGCCGGGCAGTGGGTGCGTAGGGCTGCTGCAATACCCTGCTCCTCCACCAGCCCTGATCCAGCCTTAGCATCCTGGCTATTCCATCAGCGTCCACCCCAGCCTTGGCATCCCAGCTCCTTTACAAGCCTCCCTCCAGCCTTGCCGTCCTGGCTCCTCCATCAGCCCGAAACCATGGCCTGAACTTGTTCCTGCCACACTAAGACTCCTGGTTTTGAAGACACTCTCATATCTTGTGGGTTACTGTGGTGTTTAACACATCTAGAGAATTTGCCATAGCTGAGGCTATGAAATGGAAAGTACAAGAGCCTGTGTGCTGGAATGGGCACAGTTCACCGACTTTGTCTCGCCCAAGAAGCAAAAAAAGAAGGTGTCTGGAGTGTTCTGTGCCAAGGAATCCCAGATTCAGACTGGGTACGTGCTGGATGAGTTGTACTACTCTGAAAAGTTTAGAGCAGCAGCAGTGTTCAGGAGAACACATGCACCTGTGAGGAGGCCCTGTCTGTCAGCAGGAGGAAAGAAAAGTGCCCCAGTCTTTAGGGAGTGGTCATCTCCTGATCCCTGATTCCTTGGGGAAGAGGCAGTAGGACTAAGCCTCTTGAACCCAGTTAATGCCTGTGCCGTCTCCTGTCAGAATGAAGGAGACAAGTGGGTGAGGGTGCATCCCTCAAGGCCTTGGGGAATGGCTTTAGTCTGCATAGAGGGAGGATGGTTCAGACATGCCATCTGCATAAAGCTGCCCCTGCCCATCCTTCCTGATTAGATCCATGCAGATTTGTGGCTGATCTCTGTAGTGTTTCAGCCTGTGACACATATTAGTTTTCCATTCCACTCGACAGGTCATCTGCCTAAAATTTTAAGTACCCAACCTTTACCAGAGCTCTGCATTGCATCTGGCCATGAAAAAGCAGTTGCGTGGGACCACTTACAAGGATGTGCATCTAGGCAAGTTGCTCCAGAGGAGGTGGAGGCGAGGGCCATGCTTAATGCACGGCTTTTACACAGGGCTCTTCTGTGCTCTCTTTTACCTGGGGTCACTCTAACAGGTCTAACAAACTGTACTGCATTCCTCAGCTGCAGGCAGCAGACCCTCCCTCCCTGCTGGCACAGTGCTTGAGGGAGCCTTCAGCAAGCTTCACCTCTCTCACTGCTTTGTGCCTGATGACAAACAACTGGAAATGACAGTAACTGAAACGGTGGAGCTCCACAGTAGCAGGTCAGTAATGAATGAAACCCCTGGTGATATCAGCCTGTACCATGCTGGGCATTCAGGGTTTTGCTGACCCAGAAGCACATCATCAGACTTAAGATCTCCTAGTGGGTTAGGTTAATGGCTGTAGGAATGAGGAGAGCTGCCCAGACACTTGCCCCAGTTCCTGCAGACGCTACAATGTTTTGGGAACTGGCTGGACTCCATCCAGCTTTGCAAGGAAATCATGCTTTAGGGTAAAGGGGTTGGCAGTGTTGTTTCTATTAGAAGGCTCCTCTGGTTTGCCACTGCTTTAAGAAACCATTGTTTATGGGCAATTTCTGCATAAATTTTCTCTTAACAAGTTGAGATTACTTTTATATGTAAAGGATGTAGGCAGCACCCATTTACCTGAGTATGGAATAGCCAATCCTTATTCCTCTGACAGAAGTGATGTCAGCTGATGGGTGCCTGAGTCAGCCTTTGAAGTACTGCAGGCCTAACCACCCCTCAAACACTTGGCTCATTTGGGTCAAGATTTGGGTATTTAATTGGAGTAATTATCCAACTATCAGTTTGTTCAATGAATAGTCACTGGAGAAAGAGCAGGACACACAGGTTCTGTACTCTGGTGATGTGTAATGAGAGCAAGTATTCAAAAAAGAGCTTGTGTGCTTTTAATAGTCATTTATAGATATGCATCATGGATATGCTTCCATGTAATTCAGACTATTAGGAGTCTAAAATTGGAATCCAGAATCACAGACCCATTTTCCTCACCGAACCTCATCTCCAAAGGGCACCAGCTGACGTCAAATGCTTCTGAATAAAACGGTGTTCAAAATTCTGGCAGGATCGGAGGGAATTTTTGCCAAGCATACATATTTTATTAATATGACTTGCATAATAGTATGACTGCAAGTTTATGAGTCATTCCCCAAATTTACAAAATAAAGTACAAAATCTCTTGTGTAACTGGATTTTTATCTAGGGTAGTTTAAAAGAGGTCTGAATTAAGTATGAAAACTTTTCTCCTTTCTTGTGGTTTACCAAGAAACTCATCCCAAGTTTTTGCTCTGTTGTCTTCCTCCCAAAACCAAAACCATCAGGATTTACTTTCTTTTTAATTATTATTTGGTGCATTCAGTCCTACCCTGTTTTAACACACTGTAACAAAGACAGACAAGTACATTTCATTTCTTCTTCTACTGCTTTTGTTCACAAAGTGTTCAGTAAATGGAAACTGGAATTTTCAGTTCTGGAAGCCCTATCTGTTGATAAGAATAGTTTGATAACATCCTTGCTCTAAAAAGCAGTAATTCCAATCCTTACTATTGAAAAGAAAGGTTTGTTTCCATATCTATGGATACCTATATTTTTGTACATGTTATAAGCATGTTCCCTTTTATCATATAAATGCTATGTTCTCTGTTCATTAAGTGTGGTCTGAAGATTTCCTGCTGGACTCCATCTCACTGCTGAATGGGGATTTCTTTTTCACAGGCAGAAGTCATAAGCTTCGACATTGAAAATTAGAGTATTCCTTGAGAAGTGATACTTTTGTCATTCCCGTGTGCTTGGTCCTCCTTTCTCTCCCCAGCCATTTTCTGCTGGGGAAGCCAAATGAAGCCATCAATTTTGGGAGTCAGCAGAGATTTGAGGCAGCTAAGGTGAGACCACACTATCCCCAGAATAGTTCTCACTGTTGATTTGGAAACCACTTAGACATGTGTGCTTCCCATCATTAACTTGCTTCATTTAGCAAACCACAGGCATTTCTTTGGACTGGATGCAGACACAGATGAGGTTATGACTCCAAAGGGAGTCCAAAAGGAAGAGCAGCACAATGAGCTGGGCGTTACCCTAGTGAATGTCAAACATTGCAGCTATGCAGGAGTGGCTCACCTGCAGCTTACGTCTGTCTGGTGGTTTTATCTAAAAAGAACTTGCCCAAGATGAGGTGTATTCTCTCAAGTTTAAAACTAAATTATGAAATCACAGCAAAATGTATGAGCTAGGCCTCACTGATTTTTTTAATCTGATTTGTAGAGATTATACATACGAAAATTTCAATAGCATTAGTCCTGCATTGTCAAACTGTAGGATTAGATTAGTCTGTAAGTCCAAACTGCAGATTGGTGAGGTCTGTTTGATAGGTGAGACAAAAAAACCTGTTTGTTTCTAGAAGTAAACTTTAAAGTCTTTATACACCAGACTTGCAAAATGAATAGAAATCCATGCTAATAAAATAAAACAAAACACATACCTTTTAAGTACAATTTACACTGTCAACATGTAGACTTTTGGAAAATGGTTCAATCTGTGTCAGCCCTATACAATCCAAATCATAAAACATGTGCAAGGGATTAAAATTTATGTATACTTCTTGGACATTTTCTCACTTAATCTCCACTTGCTACAGAAACAATTATTTGCCTGAGACTGACAGGATCCCCTCCAGTGCCACACCGCACTTAATCCCTAATCATTTTTTGCACATATATTTTGCACATAATTGCACAATGCTTCCCTCAGAGGAGTTTTCTCTTTCAGGTGAAATTAATCCTTAGATTCTTGATATTAATAGAGGCTCCACAGAGGAAGGGTTGGGAAAAATAGATGTGGTTTTCTGAAGTGCACCCAGGAAAACAAGCTAAAAACTGTTTGCTTAGGCTTGCAAAGATGCAGTAAATCATTTACAAGGGTGACTTTTGATCCCAGGGTAACAAAAGAAGAGGTTTTATGTAACACCACATCTCTGCTTGGGTTTTGGTTTATATTTCTCTTTTTCTCCTATCCATGCAGAAATACACAAACAATCAGGGCTGAAAAAGCCCAAGCCAGATTGAAGGTTAATAGCTAAGGCAAAAGCAAAAATAAAGCCAACACTCAACTACTTTATATATAGTATGCCTATACCTTCATACATACATGTCTGTATGTCTGTCTTGCAGTATGTGATACAAATATATGATGTAGTGCACTATAGCACTAGCTAATATTCCCATAATTCACAGGGAAAATAGAAGACAATTTAGACTGATGAATAATAACTCAAAACAGCACTGAAAGATATAATTAATTTACACTGAAGGTATAACAAAATGTTATGCTCAAGAAAGAATTCTGATAGAAACCTTGGAGATCCTTTAGGGTGAGGAACATGAGAAAAAAAATCTCTTCTGCCTGCCTTTACTCAGCCTTTTGAAGGGGTATCAGCCTGTAGTTGGATATCACCTGTAGCTATCAGTGACAGAAGCACCACAAAATGGCCATGACCCCTTAATGCAAAAAAAGATGGTCACTTTTTCAGCTGTTTCTTGTGGCCTTTCAGGACTCTGCTGCTGAGAGAGTACTGGACACTACTGTTTTTTATAAAACACAAAATGATCTTTTGCCAGCACTGCTAAAGATCTCTTTTGCTTCCTGCTAATGTTTGAAAATTTTTCCCTGATCCTACATTGGAGAGAGAGGGGTGCTGCTCATGGCAGTGGTGG